AAACATTTTAAGATCCAGTCTGGAAAATAATAACTTTACATTTCATATTTAAAGAATGCCGGTCTAGCAACAACAAAAAAAGCAGTTAGTGCGCACAAAACATTTAAAATGTGTACGAGTGTGTAAGTACAGATATGAGGGGTGGTTTATCGAGTGGCCAGTAGACTTTGTCACAATCTCTTCCCCTGCCAATCTCCATCCCCCCCTCAATTATTTATATTGTCACAAATTGGGATAGAATTAATTATTTTCCCCACATTTGTACCGTCTAATTTGTACTGCCTGCCTCATTTGTATTTTCTGTATCGTTTGTTTTATAGTTTTTTCATCCGTATTAAGCCTAATGTAACATTTACATGTCATTTGCATGACTCTTAAATACAGAAATCGAGCGCTCCGTGCAGGATCTGAAGGAGGTAGTTGTGAGCCTAAGACTCCACTTTAAATCGCTCGGTCGACCAATCTTCGTTACGTGCCTACCAACAATGTGCACTTGATTCCATACCATGCACACTCTTGCAAATTATTATAATCATTCACATAATTATCTGAATCTGGCTTGTGCCCATGCCCCTAGATCGACTCGGCATAAAATGAGGATCCAGACCAGTGTGACAAGATCTACATTGGGTAGACAAGCGATTGGGCACGGTGCTGATCACATCACCCTATTGTGCATTTCACCAACCCTAATAGATGCTTGCTAACAACGTGTCCAGTCTACACAGAAGACGGGAGGAGCCTTGTACATTTGATCCAGCAAAAAAACATTTTATTTTTATAAACATTGATATATTTTGCTGTGAACTTACTTTGGATCCCAGGTCTCCCTTTAGCTGAAAAAAATAGAGTTTGTTTCATTGAATTCTCATATGGTTATAAATTAAGTTCATGGTGATGATGATAAATTGCACTGCTATGGTGAAAAAACAACCAAGCCTTCCCAAAGACAATGATCCAAGCACACATGGCTTTTTAGTGTTTTTTTTTTATTCCCCCACAATACGACATGCAGTTCAGCATTCCAGCCCGTGGTGCAGCTATCGAGTGTGCAGGAAGTGCAACTGCACCGGGGCCCATGGGCTAAAGGGACCGTCTTCCAACCCGAAGACGTACCGATAAAGTTATAATAAAAACTGACATACACAAACGTCATCGGAATGGGAAATGGTTAGGGAAATATAAAGGGGCAGCCCTACGACTACCTGCTCATGCCACCGGTTGATGGAAGAGTCTCTCTTAGAGGGAGATCTGGAGAGCCCCTCAAGTAGGTATTTGGCCTACTTATCTATGCTAGACAGACATCTTGGAAGAGGTGGGAGCACCCACACTCTGCTTCACCGCACACGGCCTGCCGATGGGCTAACTGGGGTACCCAACTTGCACTGCTGGGTCCACAGAGGCGTGGGGAATGAGATACTTGCCCGTCGTCTCAACTGCCCCGACGGGAGATAAAAACCAGCGACCTCCGGATTCGCAAGTCCAGCGCGACGGTCATCACACCACGGCAGGGGGAGGGGAACGTAATCACGGCGACACATTGCCAGGGAATGACAAACGTAAACAACTCAATGGCGTGTCAGGTGAGTCAAAGTTAACGGAACGTAGCTTCCAAACATGTAACTCAAATGTGTTCTGCGGCTACGAATATCCCAACGTGAAGCTCCCACAAAGCCACTGAACGCATTAGGACCTCCAACTCTCTCTCTCCCAAACTCCTGAGCGGGCAACAAAGCGCTGGCTAAGGAAGCCCGTGGGCTGTGCTGAGCACGAACCCCCACGGGACACCATTACCAGACATTTAAAACCAAAAGCAACAAGGTTTCAGAACACGCTAACTCTCACAGAGAAATTGCTCACGCACATGACGCTCTTAGCGCATGCACCGCTTGAGGCCACGCCGTCGTTCTGCTATAGCTCTCCCACTGCCTGCAGCACTGTGTGCAAGCGCTCAGCTGAAGCCGAATGTAGTCGTCAATTTTCAACTATTGGTTTATAGAGGAAGGTGGCCGTGGGTCGGGGCACAGAACTGGCAACGCCGAGATCCTGGATTAAAGCCGATGCATGCCGCCTGTGATTATACTACGGTTGTTAATTGTAGTGGATTGACGGTCTCAATCGCACACGATAAAAAAGCCACCACATTTGTGACCAACCAGGTGGCTGTGTGTTCGGGCGGGTGGCTCGCAATCAGCAGGGTTGCGAGTTAATATCCTGGTTGGGAATTGACTCAGCCAATCATCCCTCTGGGGTTGATAAAATAAGAAGCACTTTGTGGAGAAGTCAACAGTAGTTGTCCGACAAGAGAAACTTTCCATAGCAATGGGGCATTTTCACCATTGGCTCAGGACTATTAACAGAAGAGCACCACCTCAATGCTAATTTGAGCAAGAAATCACTTTGACATTACATATGGTTCTGCACTTAATTTGGCTAAATTCAAGAACTGAACATGAACCACATTGGTTTGACTTTTAATGCGAGGTTTATGCCGATTGCGTGGGCACTTGTGTGCCCTGAATGTTGCCCACTTTCCTGCAATCATTATGTAAAAAACGTAAGGAAAAAACATGTAAAAATATAACCCTCTGAATTTAACACAAAGCGCAGCAACATACAATTCCGGCAGAATGCAGCTGTGTGTGGAGCGCGGTGAATCAAGCTGGCACGCGTGCACGAGCAACGCTAACGGATCAGCGGGCGCATCCTCCAGGCCGCCACCTGGTCTGGTGCGAGTGGGTAGCAAAGTGCTGCCACCTACTGTGTGGACCAGAGGTCATTTAAAAGGACATCGGATGAGTTATATGATGGGCAATTCTCTAACACGAAGGGTTGCACTGCTCTGTGAGAGACTGTGAATAGATCCTTTGTCTCAAGGCTTGACAGGGAGAAAACAATCCGTGGAACATTGGGGGAAAAGATTAAAACAAACTATTGATTTAAGGCAGGCTTCTTTGACTCCAGCCTCATACAATCCTTCACAGTACCATGTTTCCATACTTTCCAATGATCGTGTATGTACTGTACAATGTGCAACAACTTCTTCGCAGCATTCAAATGGAGAAGAGTGGTGAACAAGACGGACCATTGGGGAATGTGAGGACTGGAGGTTGACAAATCTGGCCTTAAACTAACGAATGAAACAGTGATGGCTCTATAATGCTTTAATTTAATATTTGAACATTGCAATCCAATGGAAGAGTAATAGCATGGTAATTCAATGGCTATGAGCAAGCCACGTGGTAACACATGGTAAACCCATTGTGTATAGTTGAGCAATTCTCTGTGAAAAAATATTTTCTGGGATTTATCCAAGAAGAAAAAAATACTCAACAACGAAAATGACCAGGCATACCAAGTAAAAATCTTGTGAAATGAAAAAAAAATAGTCTTGAGACTCAGCAAGACTTTATTGTGACAATTTTGATTTGTAAACCACTGCTCGGACAAACACAACAGATATTTCGCAATACAGAAATACCTTTCCCAGCCAGAAATATTGGAGGGTGAGTCTTTCCGATTGTGGGGGGGGGGGGGGGGGGGGGGGGGGGGATGTCCAGCATCATCAGCAGCCATGGTCAATCCACTGCTGGTTGGCAAAACACAACTGCATTTCAAGACACTTTGTAGTTTCTTTTGGTTATTATTTTAAATGACCGCTTGAAAGGGAACCACAACTTTGCCCGTGTGACTGGAGTCGAGTTATTTTTGTTTACCTAGGAAAGCCTTGCCAAGTCCTAGGACTGGTTTTCCACAGAGTCCGACATTGGCACGTTTTTGGTCAAATCCAATACTGAGCGATGGGCACGATAACATCAATCATATTGTTACTGTACGCATAAGACTCTAGGGGAGTGTGCCTTTAGAGAGCACCTATTATGGCTAACGAAATCCACAAGGGGTTGAGATGGTGGTCACCACAAAGCTTGGCCTTGTCTTTCCAGTAAAGATCTTTGCACACACGGCTTGGCATTCATTTTAGGCTGAGTAGATCTAGAGGAAAAGGGGCACAGGCCAGATTCAGATTCTCTTTTTCCAATAGTGTGCCTGAGATGGAATCAAGTTCACATTGTTGGTAGGCACTTCACGACGATTCGTCGACCGAGCGATTTAAAATGGATTCTTACGCTCACAATACCTACGTCGGATCCTGCATGGAACAATCAGTTACTGTTTTCAGAGACATGCACATGATGTGTTAATGGTACATATGATTATAATGTCTAACTCATTCAACACAAAGTGCTTGCAACAAAAGAACCACAATGCCTTGCTAATCTCGTCAAGGAGCATGAACCATCACGCAAACTCCGGTCACCCTCAGAGCGGCTTTTAGCTACTCATCGAACAAAGACGGCCACTGCAACACGCGCTTTCAGAAGCACTTCTGCGGTCGTCTGGAGGAAATCTTCCTTCCGATAATTGGTGAAGCCACTGAAGCTATGCACTTTTAAATTTAAATTAAAAAAAAAAATTTCTTTAGAACTGCTTTTGGTGTTTAGTTTGTTTCCTTCCCCTGCACCTCTCATTAGCACGGTTGGCTACTTATGGTGCGAAAGAAGTTCAACATGCATACATTTAGAAACATGCGTTTACATTATTTCGATTATTTGGCCGCTATAAATCTCCACATAAGCCACTTCGTTGAGCTATCATGTGGCCAGGTCACTCATGAAAAGAAGCTAACAGCTCAGTGGGCTTTACGTAGTAGAATAAAGACTTTTTTAGTAATTTGGTTACATTTCCTATACTTTACACTGCAATCGTTTTTTGGATTTGTTTTTGTTCATGGAATGTTCTGACCCCATGCCCATCCTGGACATCTGTGAAAAATTGCTTTACAGCTCATCGGATTCCTCCAGTGTAAATACATATTCAGATTCTGACATACCTAACATTAGGTCCACATTTTAGGCAGTGGGGGGGGGGGGTCTGGGGGGAGGCGGGGAAGGTGGGGGAGCAGGCACAGGCAAGGCTGCACCTTTACCTCAACCTCTTACCCAGCTGGCACTTGAGTCGCGGCTGCATTGCCCTGAAGACCGTCATGCGCACACCGTGCAGGGTGGCCGTAGCGGCAGCGGTGGCTGCGAGGGATTCGGCAAGGGGAGCGGTGGCGGCGGCGGTAGTGGCGGCAGCGGCGCCGCGCGCCCGGTGCCCTTCCGGCAAGCCTGTGAGCGAGAGGCAAGGCGCGCCAAGTCGCTCGTAAGTTACAACAGTAGCCCACAGCCTTTTCACACGGAAGGCCTGCTTTTGATCAACATTTATTTGACTCCACAGTAAAATATATATATAGGATTCAATGATAGGCCACGCTGAAATGTCAAGCACCAATGTGTAACCGGCAGTGGCAAACGGCTCAGTTATTTCAAACTCAAATGTACGTTTTATATTACTTTGGGCGCGTTGCTTTTATGGTATTGGCACTGTCGTCATCGATACTTATAGTACATACTCATAGCGTTGTTGTCATTCCACTGCTGGATGACAGCTTTCCCACTGTGTGGATCATGGGGATTATTTGACCATACTTCCCCATGTTCATGAAAAAGGGACCTTGGTTTTTACACATTTGACATAGAATTCCTGTTAAATATATTTTAGAAATTTATTATTTCCCAAAACTTACATTTTAAAAATGCAATTCTTCGAATAATTAGCAACTATCAATACAACACAGTCCAGCACTTATCATTACCAGAACTAATGTTGACATTACCAGCAAAGGCACCATAATTCTGACACACGTAACGATTATTATTAGTGCTGGTATTGTTTAAATGTTTTCAACAAACAACGTGTTTACACTAAACAAGTGGGGCTGTCACTTTCTTTAAGTGAGACACTGTCAGGCCTCCCCTGTTTAGTCTGCTGATGTGGTCCGATGACAGGAAGTCTGGCTCTAAGGAGACCTGCCCTGATCATCGTCTGCTTAATAGCCGGTGTGGCCTAACAACCCGCGCCCCACACACACTCACACCAGGTTCGCGACGGCCGTTAAAACACCAGGGGATGTAAACTAAACATCCACGTGGCTCCAACAAAAAAAACTCCTACTTAAAATAAGTGCCAAATTACGGCAGCTCGACAATGACTGATGTGCACGGTTGCAAAAAAAATCCGCGTCGTGTTTCTAGCGATATCAACTGTCGCTTAGCCGAAGCTAAATTCACATACACTGTAAATATACCGCCGAGGTCAATGAGTCAGAAATGTTCTCGTCTTCAAAAGATGCCAGACGATGTACAGCCTCCTTGACGTGCTGTCAAACTGCCGCCCTCCAGAGGGGATGCTACCAAGCGAGATTGTTGTCCAAATAGAGCCGATGGCTTTGAGAAAGCAAACAATTGTGTGCAAAATCCGCTTTGGCGTAAGCGAGCGTCAACTTCAAAGTAACTTGAAAGACATTTGATCCACTGCATTATTTGTTCATCGGATGCACTCCGACTCCTCTCACTAGCGGGCAGATATATCGCACAATGAGCCATACTCCAGAGCTACACGCTGACTAAACATGATCAGAATAATAATAATAAACCATAATGCATTAATAAAGTTCGTGCTCCACATTTCACAAGAACATTCAGGGCAATATGTTCCGTTACCTCCGCTTTGTAGGGTGGTGGCAAGCATGGCCTGTGCTTGGTTATACTGGGTTAACAGAGTCTGCACAAAGCATTCCTGAGATATTCCAACACTGCCTTTGGGTCCGCAGATTCTACTCTGCTGGAGAAACCTTTGCTGCACACTCCTGCTATGCACCAGGACCATCAAAATGCAGTCGAGCCAGCACAGGGCATATTTGTTCTGCCACTGTAGCACGCGACCCGTGAGATACGTCCAAGGAGGCTGAGCAGCGTCCTTGTCACTCCGCTGCTCGTTTTCTGTCCTCAGTCTCGAATAAGAATGCTCGGAAAGCTGCGCTGGAATGTCCAAATCTAATCTGCCTCCGTGCGAGCCTTCTGAATGTTCGTCGGTGCCTCTCATTCTGGACGGGCAGCCATCGCTTTCCTTGCTTGAACCCCCAAGCCCACCGCGAACCTCTCTCGTTTTTGAAATGTCAACACTCTGTGCGCAGTCAATGCGTTTCTTCAACGGGGGAATATCTTTTGGGAGGTTTTGCTCTGAGAAATCGCCGCAGGCCCTCGTTTGCTTTATAGGTGAGCCCAAAGTCTGGATGTCTTCAACGGAAGTACGCATTCTCCTGCGGGCATGAGCACGAGGTTTCTGCACACTGGCTTTGGTCAAAATCCTCCCGATCGGGAAGCACCCGAGTGGATAAATGCACTGCAAATCAAACAGTGGGGAAAACGATTATCGTAATTATCGTTACAATTCAATTACACAGTAGAACATCTGTAACACTGGAGGCAATTGGCAGCAGGTTGTCTTTTCATTGGCACTAATGACACGCTGTATTTTACACGGCAGAATTTTTTGACAGATTTGTTTGATTTAATTTGGTTGCTGTAAAACAATATTTGCAAGGTATCCATCAATTTGAATTGTAATTCCATATTGAAAGGTTAAGTTTAATATTTGATGTACATCAACAAAAATAATTCAACATTGTATCAACTTATTTTAGGACGCTTTTATCTTCTTCAAAATCTGTTCAAAAAGACATAACATGCAGGCAGAAAAGAGCCGCCATGAACCTATGCAGCAAAAAAAAACGCAAAGCTGGCAGTGATGTAAGAGCATGATTTAAGAGATAAAAAACGTTACCAGCATCGACTGGGTTCCCGTAAATAAGAATTAGTAAAAAAATAACGCCTTCTCATCAAAATCGCCGTTTTTACCTGAAGAGGTTAAATAATTACCCACCTTCTCAAACAAGTTGGCACACCTGTCAACACCTTATCAGTGCCCTATCTTATTACAGACCAATTCAGACCTTATTGGTCACCTCGTGCCCTTATAAATCTCTACGTTCATCCTACAAAGTCCCATCACAAGGGAGAAACACCAAAAATATATATTTTTTTACACAATTTCCCTGTACAAGAATATGGGTTAACCGTGCGGGTTTGACAGGTATGTCAAGTGTACATTTTAATACTGTGCGAGGATGTTTTTTTTATATATATTCTTGATGGGTCCTATCGATTTTCAAAACTTTTACACGAATTCTTCTTCATCTCCTGGCACACACGCACTTGACTGAGTCAGGCCACAGCACCATCATCTGCAGCGTAGAGTGATCTCAGTTCTACATCCAGTTTGGTCAGAGGTCAACCCTCCTCTGCAATAAATGGCACTCATTTGAATAAGAACATTATTTTAAAACAGGTACTTGTTTCAGAAAACAAAGGACTTTTAGCCTGTTTATCCTATTTCGAAAGATGTGTACGATTGTATCCATCCTATACGATTTCTAAACAACGTTAATTTAAATAAATTGTACTAATTCAAATAAAAAAACAGAACTGAAATTCAACGATTGTCAGTGTCTGTTAATTACATCAGCTGTAATTCAGCCTGCGATTGTGGTCTGCCTGCTGTATGATGGCGAGATGGATGGTATACAGGTCGTAGGTTCAATCCTGACCCTTGACGCCTGTATATTTGGTGTTTGCAAGTTCTTTTCCCGTGGTCGTATGGATTTTTCTCCGGGTCCTCTGGTTTTTCCCTCCACATTTAGAATCGACATGCGTTTTAGAGTATTTGGCTACTATAAATTTCCACATAAGCTACTTTGTTAAGGTATCAACCGTTGCCAGGTCGCCTCTGAAAAAATAGCTATATAGCTCAGTGGGCCTTATATAGTAAAATAAATTAGTTTAGTTCAGGATAGAGATGGTGGTGATACAGGACATGAAGAAATGTAGAGTGCCGCAGGGAGATGGCCCACGACCAGGGAGGAGTGAAGAAACAGGCACAGGAAAGCAGACACCACACGAGTGGGAATATTGCCAGGAAAAAGGGAAAGCTGAAGTGAGTGTGACAGGACGCTCATGGGAACACTTACCTGGGGGTCCTCACACAGGCTGATTGCCTCACTGAAGTTGATGAGAAAGCGCCTGAGGATGCTCGTTTTGCCATTCTTCATGCACATTGGACATGGACCCAGCATCTGAAATCGTTTAGTCGCCTGGTGCAGAAGACACAATAGAGGCGACATGAGCAGGTGTTCTGTTTTCTTGGCATTAGCGTGTTTGTATATTAACCAAAACGGAAGGCCTCCCACGCGGAACTATCAGATATGGAATCAGCAGCTGAAGAGTTTGCAAAGCGGCGTGGAGAAATACATGCGTGCAATTAATGAGATACAGGTGAAGGAACACAGATGAGAGAACACAAATAAGAAGCATCACATTGTCAGGAAACCAGTTGGCCTGGGCAAGGAACACAACACGAGCAAGAATGATACCCAATAGACAACACTGGTGACAGAATATCAGCAAATGGAAAGCTAAAAAGTACACAACAGCACACGGGAGATGCATGCTGGGAATTAAGAGATTGAAAGTTGACCACAGGAATTGGAAAATAAACGCCCTCCATAGTTCGTCTCCACACGGCCATCATCCCTTCTAGCGACATGTACTGCCCATACCCACTTCCTTTTGTCATTCAATAATAGACATCTCTGAATGTCCAGTAACCCAGCTTATTTCTTAGTTCCTAATAAAGTATTATGTTGAACTTATTTCGCACCATACGTAGCTAAGCGTGCTAAAGTAGTATCCGTTAGCTGCCTGGGGGAATAAAAGGGTGGTTTGCCGGTTGCTAATCACTGGCCTAATTTATATCATTTGTCCGTCACATTTTATCGATGCAACTAAAAATACAACGGCGACATCTCGTGATACAACGGTGATTTAGTTCAGTATGTGATTTTTAATCCCTTGATGTAGTTTATGATTCAATATGACGTTGAGGGTGTATACGATACCATGTTTGTCCGTATGCACGAGCCTCTTCAAGCAAACATTAAGCGGTGTTTTTTTTCTTTATTGCTAAAAGGAAACACAAAGACACAAAAAAAACTTCAATAAGGCTTTGATGTTCCTTTATTTGTAACAAAAGTTTCATTTCAATTCACATTTCTTCAATTATACTCACAAGCAATGCATACTGTGGACAAAACCGACAGCACAAACTAAACACAATTCCTTACTTACAAGCTAGCGACTGCCGTCTTTTAGCTTGTATTCATCATTCTGCCACGATCAATCAATCCACTGCTGGATGAAGATCTCCCCAACCCGTTTTCGCGTCTCACAATTCTGCGCTGGGTTCTCTCTGGTGTATGGCTGCTACGTGCAACATCGCACGTGCAAATGTTAAGTCTGCGAGCCATGGGATAATCCACCGAGCACTTTGCTCCACTGATTTCATCACTCCATCTCCACTCGGCGGCCGACGTCCACCTCGGGACGCGTTGTTTGATTTCCCTTCGGCTGGCTGCCAGTCCACCACTATTCTTGAGCACAATTTCATTTTATTTGCCCTAGTCTCCGGATCGTACGACGGCACTATTTATCGTCCGGCATGTTTTAAAGATTTATGGGATTCGTAAAGTGTGCGTGGTGTCAAGACAATAGTCGTTGATCTCTTGTTATTTAAACAGACAACCAGGCACAAGTTACTCTTCCGGAGCGTCTTATAATCCGGACAACACATTCGCGATTATTATTACAGACTAAATATATATTTTTTTACAGAGCAAATACTTGTGTATGCACGCCCAACATATTTGTTAAAGCACATTACAACACGCGAGAGGACGTAACGGGGGGGGAGGACCGTTTAGCAAAATCATGAACCGCTAAAGATCGCTTGGCGTTTGATGACATTGAGCATGATCGACATCACTTTGTAAACAATCTCGATCCAGTACTGCGTATTTAAACGACGGACGATTTGACGTGACGGGTCAAGTGGGGGGGGGGGGCAAACTATGTCATTTAAAAAACTCACACGAAGCCACCGACAACTTAGAATGTAAAGCACAATATTGATACACATTTATTTGAATAACGCTTTCCCTCCCACCCACCCCGCACAAAGATCAACGGCAATATTAAAACGCCATTGGCGTTTGACGATTCTTTAGTAACTCGTCGACGTTATCGTGCAATGTAAACGTTGACACCGCCCCCGCCCCCCCCCCCCCCACTCTTTGCGTTAAAAATAAAAGAAAATAAGGTTCCTCACGCGGCGTAAAATTAACATTTGTCTTCTGAGCGATGTGGCAACCCGAGGCCCGAGGCTCAAACCAGCACCAGGGCGGACTGCCATAGAGAGGCCTCACCACACACACACACACCCCCGCCGTGAACTCGCCCGTCTGCGGTTCGTGAGACCAAACTGCCGTGTGGCACCCCTCTCCACGGTGTTTAATGAAGGCGTCTCTACTCGACAATGCGACGAGACGACGCCGTGCCAATGGTAAGAAGTGCGTGTGGACGGCGCTTCGCTTTGGGCGTTTTGCGAGCGAGCGCCGTCAACACAAGTCGAGTCTGGCGGTGACGTCGTCGCGCGCGGCGACTGCGCATGCGCGAACGGGGGTGAGGGGGGGGGCACAGCAGGAGAGGGGGGGGTACAGCTGGTGGTGCATCTATCGGTGATCTCAGTCAGTCGAACCATGGCACCTGCTGGGTCTGTCCCTAGACCTCATGCACCTAGCCTGGCACAGGAGGGAGTACAGTTGGTGGTGCATCTAGCGGTGATCTCAGTCAGTCGAAACGATGGCACCTGCTGGGTCTGTCCCTAGACCTCATGCACCTAGCTTGGCACAGGAGGGAGTACAGCTGGTAGTGCATCTACCAGTGATCTCAGTCAGTCGACCCATGGCACCTGCTGGGTCTGTCCCGAGACTTACTCCTGCACCTAGCCTGGCACAGTATGGGGCACAGCTGGTGGTGCATCTATCGGTCATCTCGGTCAGCCAACCCATGGCACCTGCTGGGTCTGTCCCGAGACCTCCTCCTGCCAGCGAGCCTTCGACACTTCACGTGGCAGCCTCAAAGTGCACCTGGCCTGGCACAGGTGTCGTGGCGACGTCACCGTCACTTAGTGGCGAATGGCGGGTGTTGGTATTGGTGGATGTGGGGGGGGGCGTAGCTGTCAGAGGGCCAACACTGATGATGGCTTGGGAGGGCACATTCTTCCTCCTCCTCCTCCATGGTGTCAGAATCATAATCCTATTCTTGTTTTTTACCGGGATGAGGAGGAAGGAAGGATCCTCCAATGTGCTGTAAAGCTATTTTCTCTCCACATGTGTTGCAGGAGGTGGGTCGCAAACAACGCAAAAATAAAATGTTATGCAAAAGTACGTATAAGAAAGGTCAACAAATCCTTCAAAAAGTATATACCGTACAAATAAAACTAAAACTCTTTTTTTATATTAGCAGGTAAAGTCCAGTGAGCTATTAGCTTATTTTTTTTAGAAGCGACCTGGCCACAAATGATAGCTCAATGAAGTGGCTTATCATGCGGAAATTTATCACAGCAAAATAATCTGAACGCATGTTTCTAAATGGCCTACTCCTCATATCATCATCATCGTCTCCAGCCATGGTCAGTTCACCGCTGAATGAAGGCCTCCTCCCCAAGCCACCGCAATCATCCACCCAGCACCTACATTATTATCTCGCCGATCTGCTCAAGTTTTATAGACCACTGCGAAAACGTAGATCTGCTGAATCTAGTCTGCTCATCTATTCAAAGACAAGACTGTAAAGTTTTGATTTAAAGCTTTCGTGACTGCAGGGATTCATATGCTTGGTTCTTTCGGTAAAGTCACGTAGAAGGGAAACAAAATAATAAAAATATAAAACAATAAAATTCTCACGACGTTTCGATTGCAACACAAGCAATCATCATCAGGTGTGAAAACCGCAAGAAGAAAATTTCCACTTCTTTCAAATTTTCTTGTTGTGGTTTTCACACCTGATGATGATTGCTTGTGTTGCAGTCGAAACGTCGTGAGAATTGTATTGTTTTATATTTGTATTATTTTATTGTTTCCCTTCTACGTGACTTTTACCGAAAGAACCAAGAATAAGACTGTAAAGTGTTCCCATAGGAAACGGAGCCTTCTGCAGCCAGGCTCTGTGATTGTGGAATCCTCTTCCTCGGTCCGTTCGGGATTCCGAGTCTGTTTCACCTTTTAAATCACCGTCTAAAAACGAACCTATTTGTTCTACATGCTTTCCCCGTGAGTTAAGATTTTTAAAAAGTTGTCTGATTACATTACTCTGTAATAATAATGATGAGTCGCTGTAATCATGGTTCTTCATTTTATTTTAACTTCGAGTGCAGTTATTGATATGGTTATTATCAGCTTTCTATTTCGCTTAGATGTTATCTATACCTGTGAGTGTAGTTTTATTTTTGACATACAGCGCTTTGAGATACTTCAATATGAAAGGTGTTTTATAAGACAGAGATTATTATTATCTCCCAGGTGGTCAACCTCTCTCTCAAATGGGTCCCAAGCCTTGGCTGCCACTCCATGGTTATTATTGGCCAGGAATCAAAATCTGGATATTTAGTAATACTGGAGGAATCCGATGAGCTATCAAGCTCTTTTCCACAGATGCCACCCACGTGCCGTCATCGTCACTTCTAGCCAAGACGTCTCCTGCCCAAGCCCCCTTATTGTTTATAATCGTTTGAATGGTGTCATTAAATGCGCATGCTCTCTCATCCACGTGTTCACCATTGTTTTAAATACATTGCAAGTAATGAACTGCAATTATTTTTTTTATTAATTTTAAAAAATAATAATGCAATGCATAGCGGATTAATAATATGTCCCATTTTTTACTTAAAACAATAGCCATACTTCATGTATCGAGGGTGCATTCAACACGCTAACTCTCGGAGGTCGATACAATTGCTATACACTTTGCTAGAAAATAGATAAACGAATAAGATGTCTCCTTATAATATCTGTCTCTCCACATAAAAAATATATAGATATCTATTTGTACACAACCCATCACCTCCATGGCTTCTCTAGGCTTGCATAATCTCAGCAGCATTAACTCAGAAAAATTATAATTCTACAGCGGTTTCGACATGCAGCGTCTAATCGCCATGGTCAGTTTTGCTTTAATGAATGCTGACAGGTGGTCAACC